ACCTTCTTGATCATACATGATAGAGGTTAAGGCATTTATGTGTTTTTGTGCATTCATTTTCCATTGACTTGTGTAACTCAGCCTCTTTGGCCATCATGCATTGAGATGCATTATTGATGGCTCGAGAGTCGAGCACTACACTCCTTTGAGCTTTAGACATGATAAGGGGTGTAGTTGCGCACACATTTTTTTGTAAATACACTGCCATGCCTCTGTTAGTGCTCTGTTGTAGTAAAAGAAGAAGTTTGCAAGAAGAAGTGGCCAATCGGCTATAAAGTGTGCCGATCGGCTATCAAAATTGGCCAATAGCCTTGAAATTTGGCCGATGACTATTACACTTGGCTGATGGCCATTCCTCTTGGCCGACCACATCTCGGATTGTACATAAGGTGGATCAAAAATGTTTTGGAGATTGGCACAATTTTCAGAAGTCTAAAACAGTGCAAACAGAGGCAATATGAGGCACGGTGGTGGATTTCCGGGAGGACGCGACCAAGCATGCATCATTCATCATTCATCATTCCTAGGCAAAGCTGTGGCAACCTATTTAGTTTCTTATTTGGTTTTGTAATTTAATTAATTTGATTAATTAGTTAAAGTTTTGTAATAATTAATTAGCTAAGTTAGTTAATTGGTTGTTTTGTAATAATTAGTTTAATTAGCATAGCTAGTTAGCTTATTGTTCGGACCCTCCGTTGAAAGGGCACAACTGTTGTAATAAGCATGTGTGTGTGTGATGCATGTCTTCCAAACCCCATTTCTTTCTCTTTTTTACTTAACCGCCTACGATGGTTAGATTAGGGCATATTTCATTAGCATACCTTATGCTTGCATGCGAGCATCCCTTCATCTGTCTTGCATGCACTGGGCTCGGGCCATCATATTGACTGCATTGTATTTCAATACATTTACTTGAATACGTGTTCAACATCATGTTATCAAGTTGCATTCACATGACATCTTAGAATAGCCGAGCCTATCTTAGTTGCATTTTTGCATGTGTTGCATTAGCCATCTTAACATGAACTAGGATCATGCATGATTTCTAACTAGTTCTCTGTTTTGGCTCGGAGTACACTATGAGTGTTTTCGCTTTAGCATCCTTGCATGTGTGTAAATGACTGCCATGTCTAGCATGCTTTCCATGAGGCTAACTGCTTAAGTAACTAACTGCTTGAATGCCTGTGGGTGAAGGTTGGATTGCTTGAATTGGAACAATTCATCAAAATGTGTGTTTTAAGCCCACTTGAGAGTGGCAAAATCATGTTTTTCTAAGCCCACTTGAGGGTGGCAAAATCCACGACCTAGCCTACTTGCGAGTAGCACCTCTAAACCATTTTCAAACAAACAAACATGAAATGTTTCGTTCCAACTTAGGCGATCTAGTCTATACTTGTATGCTATGCGCATCACATAGTAATTCTAGGTTAATAACCGGAATAAGAACGCATGTGTTTTCAAAAAACAACATATCATGTTAGTAAAGGCCGATCCTTTGATCGGGCGAGCGGGGGTTCTCATTGTATGACCTTCCCCTCTCGTACCCAAGTTCCCGAGCCAAGGCAACTTTGGTAATGACGGACACGTGGCCTTAGGCACGAGTCAGGGTTTCCTAAATTTTCCAAAACAAAACATTTAGGTGGCGACTCTAAAATATGGGAAAGCAGTCCATGTTTGGCACTTCTTGATTAAAATCGATTTTCTAAAATGATTTGCCGGATTTGGACTCTTTGGTGATTTATCGGTCTCACATTGCACTTTGTGAGATTAGATTTAGAACCGTGACACGAGTTCGAATTGTAGTAGCTAAGAACAAACGATTCGCGCCCTCGCGCACGGAGAGTGAAGTTCTCGGGCGGTCTACACCACCATATCGTCAATATAAACTTCCATAGTACGGCCGAGTTGCTCCTCGAGCATGGCAGTGACTAGTCTTTGGTAAGTTGCCCCTGCATTCTTTAGCCCGAAAAGCATAACCTTATAGTAAAAGGTTCCTCTTGGGGTGAGGAATGCAGTTTTCTCTTGGTCCTCCGGATGCATGGCAATTTGATGGTAACCTCTGTAGGCATCCAAGAAGCTCATACGTTGATGATATGCGGTGGCATCTACGAGTTGGTCTATTCTGGGGAGGGGAAATCAATCCTTGGGACAAACTTTGTTTAAGTCCGTGAAATCCACACAAACACGCCAAGTCCTATTTTTCTTCTTTACAACCACAGTATTCGACAGCCATGCGGGATAGGTCACTTCCCGGATCGCTCCGACATCAAGCAACCGATTAACTTCTTCAACAATGGCAGTAGTGTGTTTTGCGGCTGACCACCGATTTTTCTGAATAATCGGTTTACATGTGGGGTCAACGTTTAAACGGTGTTGAGAAAAAGATGGATCCACCTCCGGCATTTCACACGGTGACCACGCGAAAACATCAAGGTTGCCGAGTAAGAAGGAAATTAGCTGTTGCCTGTCGACTCTATTCAGGGTAGCGCCGACCATGAAGAACTTGTCAGGATTCCCATCAATTTCAACTCGATCCAGGGCCTCGGTTTCCTTTTCACTTGGGAGCCACCCAACATCGTTAAGGCTCTCTCGATCTGGCACCTCAATAGAATTCACTTCCAGCTCTCTTGGCGTTTTTGTGGCAAGAAGGTAACATGCTTGTGTTGATTTTTGGGAACCACGAATTTGTTCAATGCCGCGTTTAGTTGGGAAACGAAGTAGTTGATAATAGGTGCTTGGCACAGCCTGGATGGTATGTATCCAAGTTCGTCCCATGATGAGATTATATGGTGAAGGAAGCTTGACAACCAAAAATTCCACATCCACTGATCGGAAGCCCGCTCGGACTGCAAACGTTATTTTGCCCAACGGATATTCTGGATTAGCGTTGAAGCCAAATAATGGATAGTGAGCTGGAGACAGGTTTGACTTAGTGACGCTGAGTTTAATGAAGGTCTTGTAGTACATAACTTCCGAAGTGCTCCCCTGGTCAATGAGAACACGTTCAACGATGAATCGGTTCACGCGTGGTTTGATGACCAATAGATCAATGTGGGGGAGCGTTACACCGGCCAAATCTGAATCATCGAAAGTAATACTCGCAGCTTCATGGGGCCATTTCGCTGAAGTGATTTGCTTATGGGGATTGGGATGCGACTGAATTGTGTGTACGACAGATATTGTCGGCAAGCTGTATGTCATATGGATTACGCCGAGCGGAGGTGAATCCTGCCGTAAAGCAACTGTTTTGGTTGAGTTGTTCTTTCGGACGTGATGCTTAAGCCGACCATCTTGTACCAACTCCTCAAGGTGATCTTTCAAAGCATAGCAACTGTCGGTATCATGACCATTGTCTTTGTGATATTCGCACCGCCTATCCTGTCTCCTCGTGTCGGGAGGTCCCACCATCTTGGGTGGCCATTTGAAGAACGACAGATGTTGAACTTTAGACATAACCGCACTGATTGACTCCGACAACTCTGTATATTTCTTGTCCGCGTGCCTTGTGCGCTTGCTATCCACTTGAAGTTGTTCATTAGCCCATTGTGGACATTGGTCATTTGATTGGCGTGAATCTCGTCTTTTGTCTCGTTTAGTCCGATTCCATGGTTCAGGGCTCCGTGATGGTACATAATTTATCGCTGAATGATTTCAGATGGGGCCGTCTTGTTGGCCTTATGCTCGGCTTTGATTTGCAAAGCGTTATCTTCCACATTGCAGTATTCCTCGACTTTCTTCATTAACGACCAGACTGTTTTAGGGGGCCTTCTGGTCAAGGAACTGCGGAGGGCACTATCAGAATGCAACCCCATTTTAAAGGCGATGATGGCCATGGAGTCATTGCAGGCATCATCTACGAGAGTTAAGCATTCCCAATAGCGCGCCGAATACGCATGTAAGGTTTCCCCTGGTTGGATTTGCATTGCCCAGAGAGAATTGGCTTGTTTCGACTGGACCTCATTGGTAATGAGCCTTGCCCTGAAGGATTTTTGGAGTTGATGAAAGCTCTTAATCGATGCCGGTTCCAATTTATAATACCATCTGACGACCAATGGTCCCAAACTGCTTGGAAATATTCAGTACATGAGGGCCTCGTCATCTGCATGCAGCGTCATGGCTTGCTTATAATGACGAATGTGATTAGTGGGATTCGATTTCTCGTCGTATAGGGTGAACGATGGAGCTTTGAACTTTTTGGGTAGTATTGCCCTTGCAATCCGTCGCACAAAGGGGTCATGTTGATCTTCTTCATCTGAATCATTTCTTCTTTGCTTATTCCGTGCGCACGGACTTCCTTCAGAAGAGGTGGAGATTTCGACTCGTCCCTTCTTTGCAGGTTTTGGGGATGATGAGTCAGAATCACTGCCACTATCGTGTCTCCGAACTCGAGGTTGTCAACTGTCCTTTCTCAGAGGTCGGCCCGGGTCTTGGCGTGCAGCTTGTTAGGATTTTGCCACCTCCAAGGCCAAATCCTGTCGAAGGCGTTCATTCTCAACCATCATGTTTTCCAACCTTTGTTCGTTTTGCTTCGCTTGATCCATAATCGCTTGCATTGTCTCATGCATTGAAGTCGAAGGTGAGTCGAAGTTCAAGGCCCTTCGTGTGGTAATATTCTCTAGTCCAAGAATATTGCTTGGAGTGGTATCATCTCGTGGTGTAAGGTCGTCAGTGACTACCAGAGGATCTTTCATCATGCCCGCCATGGATATGCTGGAGTATTCCCACAGACGGCGCCAATTGTGGAGAAATAGTTTGGAAATACTCTTTTGATCCTGTAGGACGCTCGTGATCCTCAGTTAGTCACTTGAAAAGGAATGAACACTCTGGTCGGGGGTGCCGAAATTAGCACTCCGACGGATAAGTCAGTGCATACTCTTTTGGTTGCTTATATCTCTAGTTAGATTTTTTTTCTCACCTGCCTCTATGTGGCTGTTGTTCCTCTACTTATATACGCTCCTGGTCCTCAGGGTAAAACCCACTCTTAATCCGTCGTGTGATTGTTCACTCGGCCCTCCTTTTGTCATATTCCAACTTTCACTCGGCTCCTTGCTCAACTGGCTTCATGGTCGATTAGGACACTCGACATCTAGAACGTACAAGTTGGGGGCGAATATAGTATATATCCTGATTTTCTAAATATGTACTTGGCCTATCTGCGTCTCCCTGATATTTGGCTCCCACAGTTGTCATTAAAGAAAATGTAATAAGTTTCCATCCACAAGTAAATAGGCAATTTTACCTGAAAGAATCCTATATATTACATTGAAGGTAAATTCAATGCTAACATCAAGTGGCTGCTAACAATCCTTTGACGGCTATCAGATATATAGCTATCCTTTTGCATTCTTGAATATATGACTTTTGCAAAGACGACTCCATATACCAGATACTACATCAAAAAGAAAAAACAAAAAAACAAAATGAGAGCAAAATCCAATCTCATATCATTAAGAAAGCAAATTGGATTTTTATTTTTTATTTATTTTTTGTTTGGGGGGGGGGGGGGGGGGGATCATGAACCTCATTGTGCCAACACAGTTAAAAGGAATGAAGGCATTTTTTTCAAACAGTTAGAGGACCCTTAATATCAGATAACATTTACAGACTACCATCTATTACATATGTACAGATATACATAGCATGTATGTATTGATGAGAAATAAATATATAGTAGAGGCTGAAATGTCCAATTGAAGTTAAACTAATTTGAATCAAATTGAATATTTAAAGGACAAAATTAAAATTAGAGACTAAAAGTGGCATGAACTTATTTTAGGAAGCATAAATGTATTTTATCTAGAAAACAAATTAACCATGCAACACTATGTACCATAAATCATAGCAGACCTTATAAAAGTCCTATAAAACAGGCCATATTTCACACTTGGCTGCTAACCTTTGCTATAGAGATTAAGAAAAAAAGGGATCTATTTTGCACAAAAAACTGTAAATGTAAAGGTGAACAAAAGAAACGACGATGAAGAAGAAAAATAATTGAAAGACAGAGAAGAGGATCAAAATTCTACCTGTGAGCCACACAATACGATAGTTCTCAACCATCTAAGCCCGCAACTCTTACCACTTCGCTACAAACCTACATTTATGAAGACCAAAAAAAAAAAAAAAAAAAGGCAAAAGCAGAGATCTAAGTGAAATAATAATTGAAGAATGAGTAGAAGAAAACATAAGGAGAAGAAAAGAAAAAAAAAAGGTACCCCAAAAAAAAGTAATCTCTCTTTTTCTCATTTCTTTCTACTATCATTATACTATTTAGCTTCTAAATTGAAAATTCAAATTTATTCTACTCATGTTTAAAAGAATCAAGCACATTCTTAAGTTGAAAAAAACTTACCTTTTAATCCAATTCAATACACAAGCTATGTTGAATCCTATATATAAATGCCATCCCAAATAAGCTAAAACTGAATTCAAATTATTAATCACAAAAAGCATGATAAAAGCAAACGAGACAATTGCTTATGAATAATTGAAGTACAAAGAGAAATATCCTTTAATTTCCTAGTTTATAATCTATTAGAAGAACTGATTTTCATGGGTAAAAGCGACAATGGTTTAAAGGATTATTAAGGTGATTCTCTTAATGATTTGACACAACCACACCACCTCTGTCCACATCCTCCAGCAACATACCGAACATGATTTCTTGTTTTTGTTTTTATATGTTTTGAAAAATTTGTGAACCAAAGGATATGTATTAAGTTGGAGTCATTCTAATTCTTTTGAAACCCAATCATTTTTTAAGGGATTTCACAATAGCCTATTTTTTCTTCCAAATCAAATCCCACTGTAAATTCCCTTCATTTCAGAGATTGAAAATCCTTTTGAAATACCAATTTGTTAAAATCCATTCATTCCAAACACACTAAATGATTCAATATAACAAGAAGAAAGTTGTTGATTATTAGATTTAATCACTTGATCTAATCCTTCCTTCAGAAGCTTTAAGAATTCATACACTCTCCCAGTTTATCAATTGATAATAACCAAACCAAACCAAGCCTTAATTCCTATCAAATGGGGTTGGCTTTATCAGTTGATAGTAACCTTAGACAATAATCAACTCGTGGTTGCATCTTAATGTCTTGTAGTATAGAAGGAATATATGTTAACAGCACTTTAGCAGCCACGCCAACCTGTTAAACTTGACACAAAAGGAAAAATCTAATTGATAATTGACGATTTTCTTGCTAGATTTTCACATGGAGAACAACTGCCAAGTACACAATATCTTCTTCATCAACATGTTCTTCTAAGGAGGCAGATTGGAAATAACATTTTCTTCTTTATTTATTTATTTATTTTTTTAACCCCTTTTGTTCAGCAATAGCTCCTGCCAAGAGCTAAACATAATATGGGAAGGTATTAACCAAAAGTTTTATGGTTGGTTGGAAGCTTCTAAAAAGAAAAAGAAGAAAGAAACTTGCTAGATCAGCCATACAACAGCCAAAATGGCCCAAAACAACCATACAGTAGCCAAAAGGATGCCTCATCAACCTACCTTCGGTTCAGTCATAGTCACACATCTTTATTGATCCTAAACATCTCATACGATCCTGGATCTGTGCAAGAATGAATTGGTCTCTACTTAATTATCATTATACTGACAATCAAAAAAAATATGATTATAGAGCTTCTTTTTTCTTTTATTGTATTTTTAAACAAATATAAGTGTGCGGAAAAATGAGAATTCTGGTACTTGAGCCAAGTTTTTGAAGACAATGTCAACAACTGTGTACTCCAGACCAAGAACAAAAGAATGTTCCTTTTGCTCTGCACAGTCACAAAGGTTGGGGTTTGAAGCTTCATATAAAGGTACTTATGCATCTACTTTAAAGTTGATAAGAAATTCACTCAAACATTTAGTTTATTATAAGAAGACTTAGGCCCCGTTTGGGAACTAACTTTTTTAGCCAATTAGCCAAAAAGTTACTAAATTAGCCAAAAAGCCAACAACTCATACCAAAAAGTCAAAGATTCTCTTTTCTCTCTGCTTTTTGCACATCTTTTCGTAATTAGCCAAAAAGTCATCCCAAACATATAAGTTTTTTTTACCTACCTTTTTAGCCAAATAGCCAAAAAGTTACTAAATTAGCCTGTTCCCAAACGAGGCCTTAAAATGCCACAACAAATAGATTTTACTGAAGTAAAATTTAAAAGGAATATTAAAGGACTAAGTACTAGTTGAATGGTGAACTGGTATGGATCACACATCTGAACAGAGAATTGCCGAACAGGAAAAATAATTACTCAATATGATAAAGCAAGAATTCAATAAATCAAAATTTAGAAAGGTAATCCTAAAGCCAACCATTGAGAGTGTTTACCTTAAAAGCATTGGGGATTGTGTTAGTCATTTTATCCAGAACAAAGCCTCTTGCTATTGTTCCCAATATTCCGGAGACAATTGTGATCCCTCCAAAAACCAAATTTGGGTCGCTTTGCCAAAAGACCCAAGTTATGTGTTTTTATACCTACTGTTATTTTATCCGAAATTATCTTTTAACATGCAATAAACACAAAAGAAAGATGAATTAAGTGTCATATAAAGTGATATAAAAAACTATTCTTATTACAAAAAATGAAATAAAAATCTTTGAAATTTACCATGTGATATATATTATATTAGTTCAGACAGATAAGGCTTCTCATTATTAAATATATGAATTGTAGGATCACTATGTTACACTTTTGAAAAATATAGATATGCTTAATGAAGCTCATATATCTTGTCCATTTCTAGGAAAAAAGGCATTCTCAAAGATTAATAAGCTGAGGTTTTAGAAACGTGTGGCATTTAACCAACAGAGAAAATAGTATATTACCTTCAGTGTCAAAACCTTTGTAACATCCTTTGCTGCTTTAGACTTGGCAGCTTCCTCCTTTGCCAGAGACCAACTTTCTTCGATTCTTCTTCATGAATATTTTCGCTTCTTGAATATTTTCGCAACATATTAAGAATATATGAAGATCAGTAGAGAAAAGAAGTGCATTGTAAAATCTTTCTCAGTTGGACACTCATGACAGGGGATGTAGACAAAACAGTTTTTATTCTTTGATGTAATATAAGATGAAGCAAAGGCTTTTATATTTTCTGATGTAATAAAATCTACACATCAAAATGGATTAAGGAAATGCCAAGTATCAACTCTCTCACTGACCAAACTAAAATGATAGCTATGGCTATTTGAAGCAATAAGTAACTATCACAACCACAACATTTTTTTGGACAGAAAACATTTTCGAGAAAAAGTTTTCCGCATTTAACATTTGGTATGAGCATCATAGAAAATGGAAAACAAAAATCAACCGAAAATGTTTCAAGTTTATTTAGGCAGAAAATTTTCCATGAAAATCTTTTAAACCATTGTTGCTTTAAACCATGGGAAAGTGAGGTTTCACTTTTAATAATAGTATAGAGATATAGATATATATATATACAGATATATATATATATATATATATATTAAAAAAACACCCACAGGAAAACAATATAAAAGTATAGTAAAAACCAGCCATTCTTAGTGGCATTTTATCAAGCACCTAGGAGGCATAAATAAAATATGCACAGTTTTCTTCTCTGCTGGAGACATCCCAAAATAGAGATACATAGAGATACCTAAGCAAACATAGATACACAAACATACCCAAACTGAGAATACAAAATTTCTACTGAAATTCTTCAATTACAGAACAGGTGTTTAATGTCAAATCTATATATAATAGGATTGATTACCTTAAGTATATTAAAAGCATTATCACCAAACTTAAAATTCAAAAATAAATAAATAAATAAATCATGACTTCCAGGTGAATTCAGCCACTCAAAGCAGCCAAAATTGATATATTTCAAGTTGTGAGGGCCGAATATTGGGAGTTGCTGAGATGCCGAATATGTCAAACTCTGGGTCAAAATTTATAGCACTCGGCGCCATCTCACACGCTTGAACCCTATCCTATTTGGCCCAATAGCCAGTCGAGCAAGGGGTCGAGTGAAAAGCGGTTTGTTACAGTTGAAGCCGAATAGCGAATTGAAAGTGGACTCGATCCCGAGGCCCAAGAAAGAAAAGACATAAATAGAAGGGCATCAGCCAGAAGAGGTATGTGAGAACTATTGTGCTTAACTTAGAATACAAGTAATCCTGAGTGTTGAGGCTCACTTGCCCGTCGGAGTGCTAATTCTGGCACCCACGATCGGAGTGTTTATTCCTTTTCAGGTGACTAGCAGAGGATCACTAGTGTCCCCCAAGATCAGAAGAGTATTTCCAAACCACTTCTCCACAATTGGTGCCGTCTGTGGGAAAACTCAAACACATCCATGGCGAGCGTAACGAAAGACCCTCCGATAGTCACTGATGAAACCACACAGAGAGACAACCTCACTCCAACAAACATGCTTGGACCGGAGACCTTCCCCGTAAAACGCGCTTTGAACTTCGCCTCACCCTCGACTCCAGAGCATGAGGCAATGCAAGCGATCATGGAAAAAGAAAAGAAAAACGAGCAGAGGTTGGAGAACATGATCGCTGAGAACGAACATCTCCGTCAGGATTTGGCCTTAGAAGTGGCGAAGTCCAAACAAGCTGTACATCAAGATCCGGAACAACTTGTGAGGGCAGGTGGTCGACAATCTCGAGCCCGACAACAAGACACTGATAGCAACTCCGAATCATTATCCCCGGAGCCTAAAAAGAAGGGACGATCTCAAACTTTTAGTTCCTCTGAAGAGAGTCCTTGTATAAGGCATAAGCGCAGAAGAAATAGCTCAGATGAAGAAGACCAGCATGATCCCTTTGTACGACGGATCGCCAGGGCGGTTCTGCTCAAAAAGTTCAAAGCTCCGTCGTTCACTCTCTATGATGGAAAATCAGACCCCACCGATCACATCCATCACTACAAGCAAGCCATGACGTTGCATGCAGACGATGAGGCCCTTATGTACCGAATATTTCCCAGCAGTTTGGGACCATTGGCTGTCAGGTGGTATTATAAACTGGAGCTGGCTTCGATCAAAAGCTTCCACCAATTACAGAAATCTTTCAGGGCCAGATTTATCACTAACAAAGTCCAGCAGAAACAAGCCGACTCTCTTTGGGCAATATAGATCCAGCCAGGAGAAACACTAAGAGCGTATTCAGCTGACATTGCATGCAGACGATGAGGCCCTTATGTACCGAATATTTCCCAGCAGTTTGGGACCATTGGCTGCCAGGTGGTATTATAAACTGGAGCTGGCTTCGATCAAAAGCTTCCACCAATTACAGAAATCTTTCAGGGCCAGATTTATCACTAACAAAGTCCAGCAGAAACAAGCCGACTCTCTTTGGGCAATATAGATCCAGCCAGGAGAAACACTAAGAGCGTATTCAGCGCGTTATTGGGAGTGCTTTAATCTTGTTGATGACGCTTGCAACGACTCTATGGCCATCACCGCCTTCAAAATGGGTTTGCATCCTGACAGTGCTCTCCGTAGTTCTTTGACTAGAAGACCCCCCAAGATAGTTTGGTAGCTAATGAAGAAAGTTGAAGAATACTGCAATGTAGAAGATGACGCTTTGAGGGTTAAAGCCGGAAACACGGCCAACAAGACAGCTCCTGAAATTGCTCAGCCAATAAATTCTGTATCACCTCAGAGCCCTGAACCACGGCATCGAGCCAAACGGGACAAGAGACGGGATTCCCGCCGATCAAGCGACCAATGCTCCCACCGAGAAAATGAACAACTGCAAATTGATAGCAGGAGCAAAAGGCGCACCGACAAGAAATATACAGAGTTGACAAAGTCGATCAGTGTGGTTATGTCCTAAGTCCAACACCTTCCGTTCTTCAAATGGCCGTCCAAAATGGTGGGACCTCCGAACACGAGAAGACGGGATAGACGGTGTGAGTATCACAAGGATTATGGCCATGATATTGAAAGTTGTTAGGCATTGAAGGATCAGTTGGAGGAGTTGGTACAAGATGGTCGGCTACAATAGTACATTCGAAAAGGCAACTCAACCAAAGCAATAGCCTTAAGACAGGATTCCCCTCCACTCGGCGTGATCCACATGATATACAGTCTGTCAATGTCATCGGCGATGCATACGATTCAGTTGAATCCTTACTTTCAAAATCAACTCACTCTGACTAAATGGCTCCATGAAGCCACAGGCATTACTTTTGATGATTCAGATTTGGCCGGAGTGACACTGCCCCACATTAATCCCTTGGTAATTGAGTTACGCGTAAACCGATTCACAG